GATTGGCAACCTAATTTCAACGTTGTTTCAACGTCGAAACAGTAACGTCGATCCAATTTGCATAGTCAACCCTTTTTCAACGTCTATCCAACGTCTGGGAGGTCATTTCCAACGTTGATTCAACGTTGGATAAACGTCATTTTGCCCGCTGGGATATGGAGCTCACTGCACCTGACTGGGAATCAAATTCTTCTGAGAGAGCCTTCCCACACTCTGTAACGTTCTTTTTGTTGTCTGTAATCATTCCCTTTGTTTTCCAAACTACATCTTTGTGCTCTCGCACTAATTCTGTTATAATCGACTTTTCCAATGGCGACAAATATTGTCTATTTTCAGTCATCTTGTACTTGTGGTAACGACGTACGAATGCAATTGATGATTCTACAACATGCCTATGTTCCACACTTCATATCCCTCATCAATATTAAGCGTTATACACACACTCCAACAGGTCACACTCGAGCGCCCTCTTTGAATACAAATCTGCCTAATATTTTCAAGCATGAGTGCTCCCTCGTTGAGTGGACACTCATACTCCACTCTAACTCATACTTCAGTTTTACTTGAGTGCATATCACTTGAGCCGCACTCAGGTGTGAGTGGGAGTAAGCTTTTAGAATACGGGCGTTGAACAATGAAATACTAGGGATGTGCCGGATACTGTTTTGCCGGATACCAGGTAGTACCGAATAGTAGTCTACCGGACAACGGTCAGGAGAAAATGATGACCGGATAATAACCGGATACCGGATAATAACCAGATACTCCCATACAATAATTTATTAAAAACACAACATTTTTACAGCTTAATTAAATTAACTAGTCCAATGTGGCAATGTGTTTAATACAATAACTTCAAGAGTTTTTTGTCTCATTGACTTATTTTTCTTTACCAAGGCCATATCTTATGATTCACCTTACATTGTTTACGGGTATTCAGTATTTAATGGAACAATTGCTCTCCAGCCAGCTAACTGAGCTAAGAATTAAGAGTAGACACATACAGCTTTTGTGTGGGAGAAAGGGTTATGGGGGTGAAGTACTCCTGTTACAATAAGTGTCACATTATATGTATATTTAACCCAATAGACTCTTTATGGCCTTATATTTCGTCCTTCGGGTTATATATAAGGCCCGCTCTGATAACCCTAGGGGTAATGGTCCCTAGGGCTGCCCTGGGGGTAAGGGTCCCCAGAGCACATGCCAGAAGGGTAGTGACCCCCTCTGACCTTATTAACCTGAACCAATGGGTAAGGGTCCCTTTGACAGTTCCTATAACTCGGCCGATTATATTTACATTGAATGAGTCTATGGGCATGAAGGTGACCTTTGGGAGCACTTCAACCCCAAACCATTAAATATTTTATTGCAATAACTTCAATAATTAATAACAACAATTATTAATGCTGTACTGTTTTTGATCAATATATATATATATAATATGATATAATACATCATGCCCGTGACAGTGTACTCCAGTGATGGTGTTATCTCCAATAATAGTGTTCTCCTTTAGTAGCGATTTCCAGTAATAGTGATCTCCAATAATGTTCTTCCATGATAATGTTCACCATAGGTGTTTTCTGTAATCCCTTAGGAGAAGTGGTGGGTGGGTGGGAAAATGTTACAGTAGCTTTGGAACATTACTTTGTTAAGACTTTGAAACAAGTGATCTCTTTCAGGTGTATTTGGTCTATTTTACTGGCTTAACCGAATTATGATTGGTTACATGTTTTGATGCCATCAAAGATATATTTCGATTGGCTGAAAGATAATTGGTCATGAGATGTGCACGTGTACGCTTTGCCAATACAAAGATGACCTTTGATACAAATGACAGCTGTGGGTCTGTGACCTTTGTACCGCACGCAAAATATTCAAATCGATTGTCATATAAATTAGACTAAATTTGTGGACAGCATTGCCCATTAACTTAAATTTATAATATATATAAATTAGCTTTAATGGAACAATTGCTCTCCTGCCAGCTGACTGAGCTAAGATTTAAGAATAGACACATACAGCTTTTGTGTGGGAGAATGGGTTATGGGGATGAAGTACTCCTGTTACAATAAGTGTCACATTATATGTATATTTAACCCAATAGACTCTTTATGGCCTTATATTTCATCCTGCGGGGTATATATAAGGCCCGCTCTGATAACCCTAGGGGTAATGGTCCCTAGGGCTGCTCTGGGGGTAAGGGTCCCCAGAGCTGCTCTGGGGGTAAGGGTCCCCAGAGCACATGCCAGAAGGGTAGCGACCCCCTCTGACCGTATTAACCTGAACCAAGGGGTAAGGGTCCCTTGGACAGTTCCTATAACTCGGCCGATTATATTTACATTGAATGAGTCTATGGGCATGAAGGTGACCTTTGGGAGCACTTCAACCCCACAAATACAATAAAGTGTATCTGACACTTGAGTGTATTCCCCATAGACGAACAATCCCACTCCTACAACAGCTGTATTCATATAGAGAACAGCTTTTGCCAGATGATAGTAAGCTTGTACATGTTTGAGAATTACCATCGCTTATACTACAGCTGGATAGTCAGGGAGGCCAGGAAAAACCTGCAATACAGGAAACCTGAATGGGGCCAAGACAATTAACCAGCAGCTTCCCCACAAAGCTTCTATGTTACAACTTCTCAATAGGAGCGTTGGTAACGCGACAAACAAAGCTCTATCTCGGCAATTTTTTTTTTTTATTTTTTTTTTTTTTTCACTCAGTTTTAAGTGTTTTTTAAGAGACCCAGTATTTGCCGAATTCTTTGTCTATCCAAATCGTTTGCTTGGTGAAGTAACCAATTAAGCATAGAGGATTAGAGCATTTCCAGTTGTGAGACATAAATCTTGGAATAAAGCCTATGTTGGCATAAAACTTTGTTACACTTCCCGAATGAGAAAGTGTATTAATTAAAATACCGTTTGTCTGTTTTCCGGTCGAGAAAACGATCGTGAAATTGCAGTCGCGTTTAATGCAGTGGACGATAACAGACAGAACATATATCTGACTTTTTTGTTTAATATTGTTGCAGTTTCCTTGAATTTTTCAACGTATCGTAAAGGAAAGTATTCGTATAGTACAGTTTCTTGGTTTATTCGGTATTGCATTGGTTGGGTCCTTGCCTGTCTATACTACAGACGTTTTGAATTATTTGAAATCCTTAGTTTTATTATACAGATATGAAATTGGCAACAATGTTTATTGTTTTATACTGTATTATCATTGTGTTTCCCTCCCAGATCGAAAGCGTCGCACTATACTGATAAAATAAATAAATATACACAGTCACAGTGCCAGTCAGTGGTCTTATTTTACCGTGCATTAAAAAATATCCAAGCTTTTACAGTCTATATAAACTATAGTAAAACACACATGACATTGTTATTGAATATTGACTATTGAGTATTGTGTCTATTGAGTATTGACTGATTTTATATATCGGCATCGTGATTTTTTTTTTTTTTTTAGTACTGTATACATCGTCAATATACAACTGTCTCTACTGTATTTTCGTCAGGAAAAGAAAATTCAACCGCAACGCAAAACAACATTGAATTATTATAGTAAATTACGACGTATATAGGCCTAGATAGTAGCGCTGTATAATTATGATATTACAGCACTGGAGATGCCATGCATGTAGCCTATCACTGTCTCCGTTTCATAGCTGGTATAAATTGTATTGGTAATAATAGCTAAATTTTTTGCCCTCGAGAAAGAACAATATTGCTGATGTGACTGCACTCATATTCCAGGCATCACACTGTCGTTATTTTGATCGAGGGAAGTGTGAACACCTGAGCAGGCATCTTGTTCCATTGAAAAGCCCAAAGGCGTCAAAGTTTTGGCCAGATCGACTCTGGGTACGAGGTTGAGTGGAAATTAAGTTCAAACTCAGTTGAAACAGAATTATAGCTAGGTTATATGGTAATAGTATATTATAGGTAAGCAAACATATATGTATGATATAAAGTGCCAGATGTTGGCACATCTGCCAAATGCTCCCAAATCATCCATCTACACAGCATGGAAATTTATAATTAATATTTCTTGCATATATGGGCTCTCTTTCCAAGCCTTTGCTCAGTTATAGGTTATGTAGTTCTAACCACTACTGGATTTTAACAAAAGGAATCATAAAATTAGGTTAGGCTGAAAACGCATTCCCAAATATACAACGAGTACTGTAAAATTGATTGCGCTTGAACTTTGAACTTTGAGTCGATTCGAAGATCAAATTCACAGTGAAATATAACTCTATTGGATTACAAACAGAAAATATATCGTTCTGGCAAATGTTATGCCAGAATTTTATACCAGATCGAATTTTACAATTTTTGCTTGGTTTTAAACGAAATCTGAAACAAACTATTACTTACGATACCCGTAATTGATAAGCGCGCATACAAGTATGATAATATGATATTGCATACGGACCAGGGCGCTTGGCAACTCGTTCTTTTATAATTCCCCAGCGCCCGCGTTTCTGTTTCTGTTACTGCTAAACGTCGAATTGTCACTACTTGAACGAATCTGGCAACATATTCCTTTGACCATTGTCAATGAGAAAAATATAAAATACACGTGCTTGCGCCGTTGAACACTGTTTGCCATAAGTCCATAACGTCTCACTTTAACCGCTTTAACCTAGGCTACATATATCGATTCCAACATCAAATCCATCAATGTAGTGTTAAATCGTGTTGTTTAATTCTTGCAATGCCCCGCGCAATTCTTGATCATCCGAGGTAGTTATATTTTCATTTCGCCCGCGGTTTATCTGAAAATGTTATAGTAGCTTTGGAACATTACTTTGTTAAGACTTTGAAACAAGTGATCTCTTTCAGGTGTATTTGGTCTATTTTACCGGCTTAACCGAATTATGATTGGTTACATGTTTTGATGCCATCAAAGATATATTTCGATTGGCTGAAAGATAATTGGTCATGAGATGTGCACGTGTACGCTTTGCCAATACAAAGATGACCTTTGATACAAATGACAGCTGCGGGTCTGTGACCTTTGTACCGCACGCAAAATATTCAAATCGATTGTCATATAAATTAGACTAAATTTGTGGACAGCATTGCCCATTAACTTAAATTTATAATATATATAAATTAGCTTATAACTTCGTTTCAAAACATGCTGCCTCAAACGTAGCTGCCTAAACGTTCTTTGGTATTGTTATATAGCAATGTTTTAACTTGGTTTGTAACTAATATTTCAAACACTCATTAATAATTCATAAGCTTATTGGCAAATCATGTCAACCATAATAGAGATATTATTCACCTGAGTACACAACACCAACACAGAAAAAAAAAAAATTCATATTACAAGAACACATTGGTATTGAAGGAACTAGATACTGTTCCAAAATATCACTTACTCGAACCGTCCTGACCGCGTAGCTCAGTTGGAAGAGCATTGGGCTAGTATTCCAAAGGTCGTAGGTTCGAATCCCACCGTGGCCGGGCATATTTTTCAAGCTCGCCCGGTGTGAATATGCACTCAGAGTAACATCGCAAACACATAATAGAGAGTTTAAGATCTACGACGCGGCCGGCTCAACGACGCGCTTGTGAAAGAAAGAAATCTGTCATGCAAGACAAAAACTGTGAATAAATTTGTGGTCCCAGGGGTATTCTCAACGGCTTTGTCATGCTCAGCAGAACGTTAAACTAAGTATTATCACATCTTTCAAGCAACGCGAAGCTTATTGCGACCCAAAAGGTAAAACTTAAAGTCGAAATTACAGCAAACATTGCATCGCTTTAGTCAAACTTAGCAGTTTGTAATGTTATTTGAAAATCGTCAAACATTTATTACAGTAATGAAATTGCTTAGCGTTCATTTTTTAGCTGAAATTCAGACCGCGTCGTTGAGCCGGCCGCGTCGTATAGATCTTAAACTCTCTAATACGTCACGTGGCACGTGCAATGGCTTTAAACCTGATAAAACACTCCTAATTTGTATTTATTTTATATAAAGAATACTAATAAGGCAGTATCTATTGTAGTCGTGTCCTCATTAGTATTCTTTATATAAAGAATACTAATAAGGCAGTATATATCTATTGAATTTGTAGTCGTGTTTGAAGCCGTTTAATAAACTCGCAGGTCGTGTTTTATTAGGTCTAAAGCGACTCGTGTATTTAAACCTAATAAAATACTCCTGCTCGTTTATTAAACAGTACATAAAATCTTTATAATGTTTAATTATTTCTGGTAACTGATTAAAAAGGTGTGAGGAACAATCTTGAAAGGTTCCAGTTTCCAGTGGAATATAACTATGTTGGTGCTTTGACTTGATCGTAGTTGGTGGTTTATTACACGCCTTTCGACCCTTAGGTATAGTCTGGGAACTATTGGGTCCCACATAGCATATTTGTTAAGAACGAAGCTTCCTGCAGCGTTTTGAAGTTTCTTTTGCAAATACTGTGAGAGTGGGTAACATACTACGTCGTTATAGTCAAGTTTAGAAACAACTAAGCTTTCCACAAGTTGCTTCCTTACGTTAAGTGGAGCTAAGTTATTTAATTTCCGTAGAGCCCCCCCCCCCCCTCTTCAGTAGGGTGCACAAAACGGCATAACACGATGAAGATAAGTTTTTAATGTGATCCGACCATTTAAGACGTTCGTTTAACCATGTACCGAGAATTTTAAAAGATGATGTTCTTTCGAGTAGTTCTCCATTGGCAGTGATTGCTGGAACTATGTCCCTAAGAACGTACGATGTGGACATTTGCGGAATTATAATCAACATCTGCTTGGTCTTAGATCCATTAGGCATGCATAAGATTCGATTGGGTAGCCGCCAATTCCTCCAAGTTGGAGATGTTGTCTTTTATCTTCGAGTGGTGAAAACAATATTTTACGAACGAGCGCAGCGAGTGAGTAAAATATTGTTTTTAACACGAGCAAAAAATTGTGAAATTTCACGCTGAAAAGCAAATTGGAAAAAAGCTACGTGATCGATATCTTCACTAGAGAAGATATGGAAAATATCTCACTGTGTGTCTGTGTATTTTTCAGTATCTCACTCTCTACTATATAATAAAGTGTGATATAACAAAACCAGGAAAACTTTGGAAGCGGACGGTTCGCTATAAACGTTAGTTTATGAAAATACAATTGTCTCGAACATTTTTATGTGAATTATCCCCGAGCGGACGGCGTACTAATTCCTCCCCGGCTATTTACACCCGGGGAAACGAAAGCATTAGCGAAGTCTAAAGTTTATTAATGATCGTGGGCGCTGACCAACGGTGTTGAGTGGGTGGTCATCACTGATCTCAAAATATAGCTGTTTCCCAGGAGTGAAGAAGGCAAAAAATATAAAAAATACATTAAAATACATTTTAAAAAAGCTCGTTTCAAATAACAAATTGTACAACTTTTTTTGCAATTTTTAAACGTAAACATTGATAAGAATTGTTGTTATATAGTTAGTGTCAAAGTTCAATTTTTCTGTTTGCCGATTGGTCAAAACCGTGTCACGTGCCGGTTCACAAAACGTCATGTTCGGCAACCGGTCCGCAATGAAACATTTATTGACCGGTCAATAATAAAATGGGTGCAATACGCATGCGTGTCAAACCATGAAGTTCCCAAGTTCATTTTTTAAACTTTTTACTAAACATTTATGGCGTTCCATTTATCCAGTTTTGGTTTCAAATTAAGTTCACTCCAATAACCGGTGAATTATTCATATTTTGACACTTATATCCTATATAACAAAACACTTATTTACTGAGACCTCGGCTTCACCTCGGGCAACAACGGCGGTCTCGGGTCCACAAAACACATTGTTTCCCTCGGTCTCAGGAAATAAGTGATAAATATTGTATGATAAATCCTAAAGTATAGGGCAAGTTTGTTTCAATTGTTTATGTATGACTTTGTATTTAATAATATAGACTTTGTTCTTGATGTTCAAGTCTTTCCTCTGCATTGTTTGCGAAAGTTTCTTAGTTAAATTAACTTTTTAAATTTGTTTAAATTAACGAATTAAATTTGTTTCATTTCAAAGTGCGAGTAATAAGTTGAAGCTCGAGTTGAGAAGTTTATAAATATCGGCAAAACGCAGTTAATTTCAATTCACATTTAAAAACGTTTTACGTAGAGTTTCGTTTTGAATTTTACATTAAAATAAAGCGCATAGAAACGAAAATATTATACCTACTTTATATATTTTAGAAATTGATAGTTCTGTATTTAAAAGTGTTCAAATTTCATCTATTTTTTCCTGGTTTGTACGAAACATTAAAAAACAATTATCGTGTTGC